AAGAAAGGTTAAATGACTTTCCCAAGACCAGAGGGCTAGGAATAGAACCCTAAGCTCCCTACTCGCTATCCATATCCGATGACTCCTCATCAGACTTTTCTGACCCCAAATTCTGGAACAAACTATGAAGACAACCAAAGCAAAGGCCAATCAAGGAAGTGGCATTGTCTGAGTGAGATCCTTGAAGATAGTAGCCAGGTCTGTTCCCTTTTAATCCGCTAGTCTCTAGCCCAGTGCCTCAGCCATACTGAGAAGTCAATACACTTTGCATTAAAGCACTAATTCTGTTCTTGGTAGAAAATTAAATTCTTTAACAGTGTCTGATGCTGCATGAGCGTAATGTGTGTCGAGCTGTTCCTCAGAATATTTGCTCTGTGATCACGATGATTAAAGCCACCAAATATGCCTGTCTGGCGTGGCTCAGTGGTTGAGCGTCAGCCTATGGACCAGGAGGTCATGGTTCGATTCCCGGTCAGGGCACATGCCTGGGTTGTGGGCTCCATCCCCAGTGGGGGGCGTGCAGGAAGCAGTCATCAATGATTGTCTCTCATCATTGATTTCTCTGTATTTTTCTCCCTCTTCCTTCCACTCTGAAATCAATAAAAACATATTTTAAAAACAAACAAACAAACAAAAAGCACATCTCCAAATATAAGAAAACATTCATTGGTTGTTTGTCAGGATTAGAATAACAAATTTCTATATCTCAGACTTTTGTAAAGCCTGGTTTATTTGGGGTTACATGGCCTCTCCCCAAATAGGATTGCTTCCAAGATGTGGTAGAACCTTGCTCTGCTTCCCAGATTTGGTGTTAAGTAATCACGTGGGCTTGGGCTTACCCACATGCAGATGGGCTTGCGCTTGCTGAGTTGTTGGTCCCCCCGCTCCCCCCCCCGGTTAACAATCAGAGGTATACTCACCAGGAAAACACAGTTATAAGATTGGGATTTAGGATTGCGTCCCGGACGGTATCTTACCCAGTGAGTTCCCTTCCCTGCTGGGGAAGTCCAGGAATACATTTTTGGATAATAAGGAAAATGTTCCACAAAGTCTCACTCTGCTGTTATATTCATCTCACATCTCGTAAGTGTAGACATACAGCTTATGGCTTTTTAGTGTTTTTTTCCCTTAGTGTGCATTTCACAACTTTACATTTTTTTTTTTCAGTTTTTGACACTTGCGTCTGCCAAAACTTCAGAGATGTAATCAACACAAACAATTGTGTGTTCGTTGGAAAAACCTTCCAATATCATTGAGGGATTAGTCCTATATTTTGATGACTTGATATAATTATAAACCCTTACAAATTAAAGGTACATTTAATTTCAAAGATGTTAGATGGAGATGCAAGTGCATTTTTCTCTTCATTATTCAGAATTCTAAGCCATGACAGCCCCTTAACTACAAATGAACTAGACTAGCACTATGACTTCCATACCTCATGAGTGTTTACTGTGTTATGTATTGGACAAAAGTTGAAGATCCTATTCTCTTCTGACTAAGAGACGATAAAAGCGCATGGCTTATGGCTTTGTTCTGTGTGTGCACATGAATATTTTGAAATTCATTGTAATGACCATTCAGTGTAACCATATGCAATTGTGCTTGGCACATTTTCAAGGTAATCGCTAGTGGGAAAATGCACATCTCACTTATCACAGGAGAAGCAATTACGATGGAGGAAGGGCCTACATGCAAGGAAGCATTAGGGCATTTGAGATAAAGAAATGGGCTATTTGGAATGCAGTATTTCCTGTTCAGGTGAAAATTCTGAGAGTCTGTTACTCGTGGCTCAGAAAAGTTGCCTAAAAGTAAGGAAGATGGTGGGACTGTACACAGGACCCGGCATTTCTGTTTAGTAACACCAATAGGCCAACTAAAAAATGAAAATTCAGAAGTGAAGCAATCCCTTGAGAGTAATTAAAAAGTGTATTGTCGGAATAACAGAAAAGAGGTATTTTTAGCGCTTACCGAGTGTTTTCACACGTTAATTTTTTGACGCTTGTTGCCCTGGTGAGGCACGCGTGGCAGATCTTGTCATTACCCTTGTCTGAGGTCTCGCCATTCCTTAGGCAGAGCTGGGAGTAGAATGAGCAATTCCGAGGGACCTCCCCACCCTCTGATGCTGCCTTCCCATGCTTCCTAGGACCCAGCACTGATAGGCATCCAGCTGAGGACAGCGGGGCCATGTGGCTGCAGCTGTAGCCACACATCACACTTTACCAATGACCCTTACACACGGGGTCTTTGTCCTGGTCCTCTCTCCTTTGCCTGTCCTTTGGTTCTGTCGCATGCACTCACAAAACCTGTGAGAGTAATTCCAAAAATAGTGCTTGCTGCAAGCTATCCATCCACCCACCCACCCTCCACCCTCTTCCCCAATCCATCCATCCATCGCATCTTATCTATCTATCTATCTATCTATCTTTACCTACCTATCCATCCAGTCAGTAAGCTCATTTGTATATCTGCCCCTGTTGCCATAATTCAGGGCCACCCTGCATGTCTTGTTCCCCACACGCTCCGACTGCGTCTCTCCGGCAGTTGGAGAGACGGGCAGGGTGACAGTTGCTCTGGCCATTACCCAGGGGTGATAAATTGCGCAGTAATCTCCCCAGCACCATCGTGCATACGTTGAAAGTGTTTAGGGCATTGTAACTTGGGGGAATTTCCGATCTTTCATAAATAACCATGCGTCTGTCCCTTTTATCAGGCAGCTTCCCGTGTCTGTTTCCAATTGCTCAGCGCTGTTCCAGGAGTGCATTAGAGCCCGGCCGGGTGGTATTATGGGGAATGAATGAGCCACGGGGAAAAGCCGCCGTATTTTTCTTAAAGCAATTCTGTCCCCTTTCTACAAAGTCAGAGCGAAGCAATTTGCAATTAAGATTTCTGTAGGATATTCTCTGTCAGGAAAGCCATCCCTGTCTGCGGGTTTTAAAAGTGCAGTTTTTGTACATTAAAGCTTTTCCCTGTACAGGTGGATTGTAAATATCACTTCTACCAGAAAATTCAAAATAGTCTTAATTCATTATGATTCACCGTGGATTCTTATAGAAGAAAAATGAAAAGTAGTTATAACCTGAGTTTAGTTAGAAATAATTAAGTGTCTGATATGCATTTATATGGATGAGGTTCAGGAATTCAGGGAAAATTGTCAATAATTTTAGTTTGATGTGCTTTTCTGCAGGAAACAATTTCCTTTTCAGGGAAAAATGGCATTGTTAAATGAATTATAATTTAAGATTATTTTGTTTCCTGTCTGTTCCCATGCATTTAATGAAAATTATGAAGTCACATCTTTTCTTACCATATACGGCCCATCACCTAGTTTCTCAGATTCTTTCCAGAAGAAAAGATTTTCATAGGAATGACCCAACCTGTGCTGCTCGATTTTACAAAAGTGCCATCACTATAATCTAGGGAACGCCCTGCAGAATAAAGGCACATAAAGATAGCGCCGTAGGGGACATCAGATGACACGTCACGGCAAGGAGACGTGTGTTCAAGCTGACCTTGAAGTTGCGAAGGGACTCGCAAGAACAGACATCAGACAGGAGGGTAGCTGAGAGGAGTCTCGGGCGCCTGGAGTCGGCATAGGAGGAATGGCAAGTGGGTTATCAGACCCAGAACAAAATGCCCACACATTCCTGGGGCAAAGGGGAAGGAGCCTCAGCTGCCTGTCTCCCTCTGCACACTCACAGCCACGCGCTCCGGGCACACAGGGATGCTGCTTCTAGGACAGTGGTTCTCAACCTTCCTAATGCCGAGGCCCTCTAACACAGTTCCTCATGTTGTGGTGACCCCCAACCATAAAATTACTTTCGTTGCTACTTCATAACTGTAATTTTGCTACTGTTATGAATCGTCATGTAAATATCTGATATGCAGGATGTATTTTCATTGTTACACATTGAACATAATTAAAGCATAGTGATGAATCACAAAAACAATATGTAATTATATATGTGTTTTCCGATGGTCTTAGGCGACCCCTGTGAAAGGGTTGTTCGACCCCTAAAGGGGTCTCGACCCACAGGTTGAGAACCGCTGTTCTGGGAGATGTTCTCTGATCACTTTGTCTTGCTTTTCTTTGTGAAAAACAATAGAGCACGTAGCCTCCAGTCATAATGTGTGACTCATCTGAGGCTCCGAGAAACAGCAGTTGTTAAATAGCAAATCCAAACAAGCCCAGTTTCTTAGGAATTTTTTGATGACCCGTTCTGACGGTTGTAGTCTGCTTTGAGTAGAGTTTGTCTTTCTGGAAAAGGGAAACAGTTTTAAGGTTAGCACCATGAGATTATTTTAAAAGAGGAATTTGATCAACGATCTCCAAGAATACATTCTTAAGTATTTTATTTTGTCTATGTTGTGCTTCGGTTTTCCTTATTCTGCGATTTCTCTCTTCTCTTCTCATTTACAGTGCTATTCGGGTTAAGATCCTTTCCTCCAGTGTCATCACTGTTCTCTTCCCTTAATCAGCATCCTATTCCTTTTCCCTAAATCTGAAATTCTTCGAAAACATCACGTTATGCTGTGTTTTCCATTTCTGCACATCTTGAACTGTCTCTTGTCCTGGAGGGATGTTCTCATGAGTTCTGCTAGCAACACCCATAATAACCACGCAAATCGAATCCCTAATTAATTACGGAGCCTGCACAAAACCAATATGATCTGCTTGAATTAATGAATATGAAATTGAAAAAGAGAATATTGCTTACTGTCCCCGGGTAGGATTGAGGAATGTAAAGTTAACAAAACCGCATGGTAGATTGGAGAGTCAAGCTTGAATTCTTAGTTTATAATCATGATCTGAAACCACGTGTAGGGTTTAACAATCCTAAACGCTCTCTGCTCTTGGCTTCCGTTCCTGAGCCAGAATGAGTTCCCTGGATAGGGTGCGCCAGTCATTGAGGACCCCGAGTAACGGCCGGTACCTAGTGTTCCGGGGTTATCATTTGTGGTAAATTTGTTCTCAAATTGGCATTTTTCTCCTAATTCAGGGTAGAAATTTAGCCTCTGGAGAGGTTGGATTTTTTCCAAGTGATGCCGTGAAGCCTTGCCCATGCGTAAGTATGAGTATTTTCTTCTATTTTGTTTTTGATGTTGTAATTAATTGTCCAAGGATGTACAATCGATGCTGGCCTGGTTGCTCGTTGATTTTGTTAATATTTTCTGGAGCGATCATACTATGGCGTGTTTGAATGCTTTGGCCAATGTTGTTAAAATTCCTCAATCATTATGATTTGATTGTCAGAAAATATTTTTTAAAGGTAGGAGAGTATAGGCAAGAAGACAATGTAACTTAGTAGAATTTATAAAATTAAATTGTCTACAAGGCTTTAGGAGGAATCACCAAAGCTACAGATTAGATGAACTGTACCAATTTCTCTTTTCCCACCGAGGCGAGATTGGAGTCTAATCTAGTCCCCGTCACGCTGGGTTACAGAGAGATGTTACACTTGAACTAGTGTGTTGGAAAGCGTGAAAGTCGAAAATTCTTCAATCAAATCTCTAAATACATTTTATTTAATGTTATAATGCCATTTTACAAAATCATCAAACACATTAGGTTGATACAAGGAGAATGAATGAGTATTCAAATATTATTACAAATGACTATAACATAACACGTACTGTCTAGTGCTTTATGAGATTTATAAATTTCTGTTTAGGGGTGACATTATTTTACCATAATTTGCTGTTTAGGGTGGATTTTTCTGTGAAACATTTAAAGTTCTTGACTCTAGGTAAATAAATGTTTTTACTAAAATAATGGAGTTGATGGTTTGGGAAAAACAAAACCACCCTTAATTTGTCTTGCTTGCCATATTTCAATGCTTCCTGGATCTCTATACTGGAGCATCGAAGAAAGAGAGAGAGAGAGAGAGAGAGAGAAAGAAAGAAAGAAATATCAATGATGAGAAAGAATCATTGATCAGCTACCTCCTGCATGCCCCACACTGGGGATCGAGCCTGCAACCTGGGCATGTGCCCTGACCGGAATCGAACCATGACCTCCTGGTTCATAGGTCGACGCTCAATCACTGAGCCACACCGGCTGGCTGGAGCATCTTTTTAATGTCACACGCATGAACGGCTGCCATCTTTGATTTCCGAATGTCACCTGTAGGATCATTCACTCCACTCACTCCTGCTTAATTAATTTCAAAAGCAGAGGGAATCCGGAAGCATGTGCTGATCTGTTGATTCTGTGATCGAATGTCACATATTTTTTATCTTCTGCTATAATCTTGAAAATCTGTTGAAGTTCACTCATCTAATCAGATAAGCAAAAAGGATTGTTAGCTCGTTTTCTGTCATTTGTATAAACAGGGTTCAGGCTTCCTGTGCTGAGAGCAGTGGTGTTCCCATGAGGGCAGGTAGCGGGAGATTGTATGTTCTCACATGAGGATGTTGGGAACCTAAAATCAGCAGGTCACGTATACTAAGCATTTCATATTCCAAGCCCACACCATTTCATTTCATTTAATCTGTACCCGAGCGCATGCTGAGGAAATTTCCAAGGCCATGTACATCTTCCCATCGGAAGGGAAACTGTCGAAGATTGATTCCTATTTGCGAAACAAAGGGCCTAAGAAAATGTTTGCAGGATTCGAAGGGGCGTAACTTACTTCCAATATTATTTGCGATGTATCGAGATTTTAGAGGCAGTAAAGTTAGAAATGGAATTCGTTGGGTCACAATATTTAAATGTTGATGGCTTTAGAGATGTTCTGAACAGAAAGGTAATGCTTTGATATGTAACTTCATCTGAAAGGACAAAAGAGTAGCAGCCTATTATGAAACCAGGCATGTTCCCATTGGCCACACCTCTGAAATATGATTGCTTTCACTGTTAAAAATGATGCTAACAATATTTTCAATCACTGGATGTAAAAAGGCCCAGGAATATACCATGGTGCGGATATATCACAGAGTCACATGATTCATGAAAAATTTCTGAACAGGAGACAACCTGTCTGTACTCCTGGGTTTATCAACTTTGCCCATCTACAGAGTATGTCTTTTACTTGTTATTTCACGAATATTAGCATACCTGCATTGGCTTTGTTCATTTTCTAGTTTCCATAAGCAACCAGAGGGACTTTTCTTTCTTTTTCTTTCTTTGTGAGCTTAGAAAATGTACTATTTTCCTCTTTTGCGAAAAGAGGAAAAATGAATCTTTTCCATGACTTTTCCCTGAAAATCAGAGTTTAGGCTTTGCGTTACAGATGAAGATGCTACCTGCAGTACATACTGTTGCTGGGCCTGTCTCCCCAATGTCTTGAGAAAGCGGGGTGCTGCTTGGTTACCCTAACATTTTCCTTTTAATTTTCCATGATAAGACTAAGCTGCCTTGATAATAAATACCCAAAGTTTCCAGTTCATATTTCTCCTGTTATCTCTCCCCTTGGAAGTACAGTGGCAGCAAAATGAATGAAAGGATGGATTAAAGCGAGATGAATTATGTTCTGTTTCCCTGACATAGACCGTGATTCACTATGTGTGAAATGGCCGGTGGATAGACCTGGGGCTGTGCTACTGAGGGGTTTCTAGCTGAGTCAGCTGAACTGAATTAGTGATTGATTTCTAAAAGCTTCCCTTAAGTAAACTTAATCTATTTTGGCTTTTTTATATCCTAGGTGCCCAAACCAGTAGATTATTCTTGCCAGCCTTGGTAAGTATTAAAAATGTTTATGCAGCTGAGTTGACATGCCATACCCGTAGTTCAAGGGCGCCATAAAGGAGGAGGGGTGCCAAACCACATTCCATGTCCATTTGTTGGATGGAGGTGTGTTCAAAGGCAACAACAAAAAAACTTTTAAAGACATATTTTACTCACTACTGCTAGTTACTTAAGAAAATTGCTTAGCCATTGTGTGGGCTAACAGAATTAATCTTATATCCAAAAATTAGTTAAAAAATAATTTAAATTGTTACTGGAGTTTTCTTGAGAAAGATGCTCAAAGTAGATTTCATTTCATAGTGTACATAGGAAAGGTGAAGTTTTGGGGTTGTGTGTGTGTACGTTTGTGTGTGTGTGTGTGTGTGTGTGTGTTCCCTAAACTCCCTACAGCTCTCTCTAACCTGGTACCTATTGGCTCCTCTCCTTGTCTCATTCATTTATTTGATAAATATTTCCTGTGTGTTAAGCATGGTTCATTTTACTCTTGTTAGCTTTGTAGAGCACTTGTGTTTGGAAGAATTAAAGGATGTCTCTGCATTATTCCTTTTGAAGTGATGGAATTAGTTGGCACAGAAGTCAAGAGAGCTCAGAGCTGCCACGAAGTTAAAATCCTGGCAGGTGCCTACTTGTAGCCTCTGCTCTTTTCCAGGCACATCACACAGACGCCTCTCCTTGTCTCTTCCAGGTACGCCGGGGCGATGGAGCGGCTGCAGGCGGAGACTGAACTCATTAACAGGCCGAACAGCACTTACCTGGTGAGGCTCCGGACCAAAGAGTCGGGCGAATATGCAATTAGCATTAAGTAAGTAGGACAAGCACTTTCACGGAAATAGAGCTCCTGTTTGCAACTGCGCAGACCCTCCGACATGTGTAACCCACGAAGTTGAAAACCAAGGATCTAATTACAGCAGGAATAATGCTTCTATCCAGACAGGGCACTGCTACTTGAAAACATCCGCTAGAAAAACACAGTGAAGTGGTACAGGCTGCTAATTGGCATATTAGCTTTCGTCATAACATTGTATTTGGGTGACTTGACGTGTGTATGTTTTTGGTAAATTCTAAGAGTATAAATAACTAGATTTTGTTCTATTTTGTTTTTCTATATTCTCCAGTGGAACTTACTAAACACATTGAGCATAATGATTGGTCAAATCTAATTTCCCTTCTCCCTTCAAAGATTGGTTGTATCTTCAACCGATCTAGTAAATATATTTGGTAAATTAGTTGTCACCGCTGTATTGGCATAGGTATATATTTTGTCTTCCGAATTAATTCCTGTAGCGTTATTGGGGCATGCCCTCTGGCCATTATTGATTTCTTCTGATTAAAACCACATTTATATTCATAAGTTATTCATTGCCCACAGGTACAATAATGAAGCAAAGCACATCAAGATTGTAACAAGAGATGGCTTATTCCACATTGCAGAAAATAGAAAATTTAAAAGTTTAATGGTAAGCATTGATTAGTTCGTTTCAATCTGTGGGCCTTATTTTTCTCTTATTGGGAAGGTCAGTTTAATTCTATAGTTTTATGGAAATTCTGCTCACTGAGAACTTGTTTGAAGAGAATCATACTATCAATTTGCAGCAGATCCTGAAAATTCTAATTTTAGAAATTCCAATTGTTTTATAGTGCTCTAGTCATGGTTTTCACTGTAAAGCAAGTTTTAGATAGTATTTCAGAGTCTACACTCCTTATGAGTCAGAGTAATAGACAGATTCAAATGCAGTGACCTTTCAGTTCTCTGTGTGAGTTTTGCCTTGTGTTGGATGAAACCCAGCAAACGTTGAATATTCACCTCTGTCCTCCCCTTCCTTCCTCCACCTCTACCTCCTCATTCAGATAGAGGAAGGTATTTTAAATTATAGCACAAAAAGTCGTCACTGTAATTGGTGAAACACGTCTCACATTTAGGTTCATTTAATATGAAATGCAATATACTGTCACATAGAAACACTTTTTGTATTTTCTGCTATTTTTAAAAATATATTTTTATTGATTTCAGAGAGGAAGGGAGAGGGAGAGAGAGAAATATCAAAGGTGAGAGAGAACCATTGATTGGCTGCCTCCTGCACGCGCCCTACGAGAGATCGAGCCCACAACCCCGGCATGTGCCCTGACCGGGAATCAATCCGTGACCTCCGGGTTTATAGGTTGACACTCAACCACTGAGCCACGCCAGCTGGGCTGTTTTCTGCTATTTTAAATGCTCTGTGTTCTCCTTCATGACCTTGCACAATTAAAAATGAACAAGGTACCATTTTTACCATACAAGGATCTCATGGGAACTTTACATTTAAATTGAAATAGTATATATGCAATAGTTGCTTTACAAGAAAAAAGATTGTTTAATAAAATATACAATTTTAAATAATTTAATACAGTTATTTAATAAAATATCCACTTTAAATAATTACAACCTAATAATTGTATTAGTAGCTAAGAATATTATGTATATGCCATATAGACAATGCCTATACCTCACTATACTGTATATGCATTGCTGATAGTAAAAGAGTTCATGTTGCCTTAAGAGTGGTCTTGGGTCTGTTTCTCGGGTTGAGGGCGTTTCCCGAGATGATGAAAATTTGGACCCAGGACGTGCGATGCGTGGGGAGTGGTCTCCCAGGCACATTGAGTAGCATCAGGAAGGACCTCTTACTGATCAGGCCATCAATCCAGTGATTCAGGCTACAGCCTTCCGGAAAACACCTCAAAACACTTTGCAGATGTCAGCATCAAAGCTAGAGAAAGAGAGCCTCCACGCAGGCACTAGCAGGCCTGCTCTAAAACCTGGACCGGCGCCAAGGCGGGAACGGGATTTCCAAGATAGGGCAGCATCCCGAGTCAAAGGGAAAGTCATAAACCTCTGCAAGGAAATCTCACAGTCCAGCGAGATCACATCCTGGGAAGTGGGAACTCTGCCCCAGG